TAATTCTACTTCTGGAATTGGCTAATTCTGGCTGATGCTGATTTGGATGTGCTCCAGGGAAGATTTAGAGCCAAGGGATGAACCACATGCCTGGTTCTCTAAAGTAGCCCCTTATATTCCTTGTATTCCCAGAATGACACAGACTTTCTAGGGAACAAGATAACTAGGTATGACCCAGGACCAGGCCATAGCCAATACTCTGGGCTCTCTAGCACCATTCTGGAATGAATCAAGACCTTTGGGTCAAAGCTGAAACTGACTCTTGGACCAAGGCATTCCCAGCTATGGAATTTCAAATTAGAGCTCCTTACAAATTATCCTAACTTGTCATGTTTTGTGCCTGAAGCTTCTGAGGCTGTTGCAGAAATGGCTTTATACAGTGCACACCTGGTAAGGCCATAATTTACTAGCCTCAGTGGCTGTTTTATAGTTTCCTGGACTATGCAATGTTTTCTTTCAAGGTGTGACCCTGTACAAAGGGATCCCTGCACAACAGCAGTCTATCAGCTACATTGACCTCTCAAGGTATGGCTATTATACTGTAGATTGCAAACAGCTGCAGACTAATCAAGATTCCTACTTGATCACCGGGATCATAATCTCTCCTCCCCACCTCCCACTCCCACTCCTATCCCCTTTAGGAAATTAGGTGTCAAGGTCCTATTGCTTATGATAGGACTCCTGGTTAAGCTGCAAGGCCCCACATTAATTCATCTTCTCCCACAGCACAAAATGGAATCATCTCCACATGCAATCCTGGGAATAGACAGATTCATCCTTTTTTCCACTTTGGATGACTTACAAGGAATATCTGTGAGTTGCCCTGCAAAGTATAGGATTCTGTATATTACTGTAGTATATTACTGCAAAGTATAGGACTCTGAGGAAATGAGGATGAGGAAAGAAAACTAATGAAAAAGGCAGCAAAGAGACAGAAAAACTAATGTCTGGATCACACTAATGCCTAGGAAAGGCCATCTGTACGGCAGGTTTTTTGACTACAGAAGTTGAGCAGTTAATGTTTTGGGGGCAATGATATGTATGAAGCAAAACATTATGTTGGGTCCCCAAAGGAGGAAAGGGTGTCACAAACTGGGGGGAACAAGGGAAGCTTTAAGGAGAAGATGGCATCTGAGTTGGGCATTAAAGGATACCTAAGAGTTCAACAGGTGGGAAGTGGAATAGGCCCAGGGCCCACACAGAGCATGGAGGCTAGAAAGCACAGGGTGTGTTCAGGTCGCTAGAATCACAGATTTAGAGCTGGAAGGGTCCTTAGAGGTCCTCCAGTCTGAATTCCTCATTTTACAGAAGAGGAGGATGAGATGACACGACTGGCTTGAACTCACACAAATAGTAAGTGGCAGAACCAGGATTCCAAAGCAAGGTCATCTGGCCATAAAGCTAACACTGTTTCCACTATACCTTGTGAATGCAATAGAGTAAACAAGCAAAGGTAAAGTCTACATAAGTAAAGTAGTACCAGATTGTAAATGGCTTCAAATGCCAGGCTAATGAATGCAAACTTAACTTGGTAACAACAACAATAACTAACCTTTATATAGCGCAAACTATATGCCAGGCCCTATGCTAAGCACTTTATAATTATTATCTCAATTGATCTTACAACAACCCTGCTTTATCATCCTCATTTTACAGATGAGGTAAACAGACATTAAGTGACTTGCCCAAGGTCACACAACTATTAAGTGTCTAAGGCTAGATTTGAACTCAGATCTTCCTGACACCAGGCTCAGCCCTCTATCCCACTGTGCCATCTAGGGAGTAGCTGAAAATTTCTGAGCGGGAAAGGGAAGATTTCTGAGCAGAGGGATAATAATACTATATAAGGAAGAAAGGTCTGATGTATGTGAAAAGGATGGATTGCAAGGGCAGATAGAAGAGTGAAGATTCCCTTCTATTGTTATTGTTGTCGTTGTTTGTCCTTCATTCTCCAAGAGGACCATGACATCAGGAAGATGATGCCATGATGTGCAAGTGAATTAGATTTAAGTGAGGGAGGGCGGGGCGAAGTCACCAGCCTCACTTTCTCCTCCGGAGCCATCTGGGTCCAGTGGCCAGATATAAATCAGAACAACTGGAGATGACCCAGGATGCCGAGGGGGCCCCCTCTATTAAGGAAGTATTACAAGTGAAGTCATCCATGTGGGTTGTATTAAGAACTTACACTGAGGTTATGACAATAGGAGGGAAAGAGAGATATTATAGAGTTAGAATAACAGGACTCCATAACCAATTAGACACAAGTATTCAGGACAGGAAAGAGTCAAACACTAAGGTTTTGGACAGGGGTGGGTGAATACATCTAACAAAAACAGTGTAACCATAGTGCATAGAGCACCAGCCCCAGAGTCAGGAAGACTCATCTTCCTGAGTTCAAATCTGGCCTCAGACACTTAGTAGCTCTGTGATCCTGGGCAAGTCACTTAACCCTGTCTGCCTCAGTTTCCTCATTTGTAAAATGAGCTGGAGAAGAAAATGGCAAACCTCTTTAGTCTTTTTTGCCAAGAAAATCCTAAATGGGGTCACGAAGACTCAGACAAAACAGAAAACGATCAAAGAATAACAAGAAGACATTGTACATTATTAGCTACTAAACATGGCAAAGCCCCATCTAATCCAACTTCCTCATATTTTGGATAAGGAAAAAGGGCAAAGGGAAATTTAAGTAACTTGTCTGAGGTCACAAAGGTAGTAATTGTCAGAAGGTGGGATTTTAACCAAAGTCCTTTGGCTTCAGAGCCAATGGTCTTTCCATGGTACCAGAATCCCCTATTGCCTAGCTTGGTACTCTGCACACAGTAGGTACTTAATGTGTGTTGAATTGAAATTAATTGTACTGGCAGCATAGTGCCCACCAAAACATACCCTCTCTGGATTCTGAGCCCTTTTACTCCACAGAAGCCAACTTTTCTTGGATTAGGATATAACAGGAATCCTTGAGTTACCTCACTTTACTCAGTCAGTCAACAAGCATGTATTAAGTGCCTGCTATGGGCCAGGCGCAATGCTAATAGTAGGGGGTACAAAGAAAAACAAAAAACAATTTTTCCTCTCAAGAAGCTCATAGAATGAGAAGACAACAAACATGCAAACTATGTACAAACAAAATATATGCAGATAAAGATAATCATTAGAGGGAAGGCCCTAGGGGAATTGAGGGGAATCGAGAAAGGCTTCTTGTAGAAGGTGGGATTTGAGGGGGACTTGAAGGAAATGAGGGTGGCCAGGAGTCAGAAATGAGGAGGGAGAGAATTTCAGGCATGGGGAATAGTCAGTCAGTGAAAATGCCCAGAATTGGGAGACAGAGTATCTTGTTTGAGGAATGGCAAGGAGGCCAGTGTCAGTGGATCACACAGTGCTTGGAGAACAGTAAGGCCTAAGAAGATGGGAAAGATAGGAGGGGGTCAGGTTATTAGGGCTTTTAAAGGCCAAACAGAGGATTTTATATTTGATCCTAGAAATGATGGGAGCTATTGGAGTTTATCAAATACAGGATGACATGGTCAGAACTGTACTTTAGGAAGTTGTGGTTGTTGGTTCTTCATTTTTGAAGGGGACCAATGACATCATGGGTGATATCTTGACTTTGGCATGAATTGGATTTAAGTGAGGCAAAGTTGCATAAAGTCATCTACCTCATTCCCTCTTCCAGAGTCATCTAAGTCTAGTGTCAAAACAAAAGTTAGGATGACTGGTGATGGTCTGGGATATAATAGATGACTTTGGTGTCTTTGATGTCCGACCAAGGTCTAAGTGTTCCACAGTGCCTACTTCAGCCTCCTTCATGGCCATTGGAACAGATTATTCTCATCCTCCCATTTTGCCAGGAGAAGTCTTCACATGCTTGGAGTAAACACCCCTCTAACTCACCAACTGGTTTGAGACCTGTTGGTTACCCTCAATCTGTTTAGCCAGTCTGCTGAGAAGATTTTACTGGGTATGGCTGCTACAGCTTCTTGGAGCCATAGGTCAGACCTTTCCTTTAGGAATATCATTTTGACAGTTGAGTGGAGGAGGGGATAGACACAAGTCAGGGAGATCAACAGGAGACTATTGCAATAGTCCGGTTGGGAGGTGACGAGGGCTCGCACTATGATGATGTCAGTGTCAGAGGAGATAAGGGAACATACAGAAGAGATGTTCGAAGGTAGAACTGACAGGAATTTGTAACAGATTGGTTATGGATTAGAAGAGTGAGGATTCAAGGATTATACCGAGGTTTTAAGCCTGGGTGATTGGGAGGATGATGGTATCTTCAACAGTAAAAGGAAAGTTAAGAAGAGGGGAGGGCTTAGGTAAGTTTGAGGTGCCTATGAGACATCCATTTCAAGATGTCAAATAGGCACTATATCAGATTGTGCACCATCTTGGGGGGGGAGGTGGGAAGGGAGAGGGAGAAAAATTTTAAACTCAAAAGCTTATGGAAATGATTTTTGATAAATCAAAATAAATTAATAAAAAAAATATGTCAAATAGGCAGTTGCAGGTGTGAGAGTGGAGGTTAGTAGGGAGGTTAGGGCTGGAGAAGTAGATCTGAGAATCCTCTACATGGAGATTATTGAATCCATGGGAGCTGATAAGATCACCAAGTGAAAGAGTATGGAGGAAGAAGAAAAGATGACTTAGGACAGAGTCTTAAGGGACACCCAACATTAGTGGGTGTCCAGCTACCTGCATAAAGATCCAGCAAAGGCAACTGAGAAGGAATGTTTAGACAGGTATTCATTAAGGTGTTTTTCCCTCATCAGAAAAAAAAAAAACCAAAAACAAGAAAACAAACCAACCTTCCCTTGACCCTGACATTTCTTCAAGCAGCCGTTTTTACTTTCACTTTCTTGCTCTTCACTGTTAAACATTAGTAAGAATAGACTACACTTTGCTACCTCCACTTCCTTACCACCCACTCACTCTTCATCATTTGGCTTCTATCTGCACCATTCTCCTCCAACAGCAAAGAATCAAGCAGAATTAATAGTTACCCAGATTTGACCAGACACTCATGAGTCTTGAGTACATCTTTCAGAAGGATGGTTCGAAGAGGCTCTCTGTCCTGGGAAGAGAGACAGAGTAAGGTGGGGTAAGTCCATCTATCTCTACCCAAGAACAAACTGACACCTTTCTCCCCTTCCTTACACAGGGTCACTCAGAATTTGTTCTGATTTGGTGGCAGAGATCTCCAAATCTATGTAGGATGAAAAGCAAGAAAGTGCAAAATCAACCATGAATATGGCCTCAGAGATGGCTAGAATTCAGACCTGTGTGACCTGGAGCAAGTCATTTCACTCTCTCGCCTCAGTTTTCTCATTTGTTAAATGGAAAAGTTGGACATGATCTTTATAATTCTTTCCAGCTCTAAATCCTATGAGCACATGAATTCCTTACACGGATGGGAAATTTGAGAAGAAAGCAAACAAAACATGCACCCTTTGTAACTTTGAGAAGGAAAGGAGACTAGGGATAGAAATCTGTGCATTAGAGGGGCACCTGACAAAGTGGGGCAAATCTCTACATTTATGTCTGTGATGATGGTGTGAGTGTAACCCATGTACCCATAAATTTATGTAGGTACAAATGTACCCAAAAGGCTGAAGGATTCTGTTGCTGGGTCCCAGAGCTATCACTACTCACCTGTTCACACTTGAAGTAGGAGAGGGAGAAATCATCAAGAGTAAAGAAACGACGTTTCCAGTTCTTTCTCTGAAACAGAAGAGAGATGGATGTCTCTTTGTATATAGCTCCCTCCAGGGATATTATCCCATCCTGGGGTGACAGGATCTAAGATAACAATGTTATATGGCGTAATATTTGAAGTAGCAAGTCTTGTCATTTACTAGCTTTGTAACCTTAGGCAAGCCACTTTATACCTGTCTGAGCCTCAGTTTCCTAATATGTAAAATGAAAATAATACTAGTACTTGCAAGCCATCATGAGGATGAAATGAAATTATATATTTTGCCTTGAGTCTTAATGGGTTATACCAATGTTAGCTATTGTGATAGCTAATAATTATATATAATATCATAATTACATGCATAATATAAGATTATAAATGTTACTATAATTACTATTATTATGGCCAAGCTCACAGGAGTGTTTCGACTCTAAAACAAGATGGTGGATATAAACCTTAAAGGGCTACACAAATGTGAGGGTGAGGAGGAGGAGGAGGAAGATGGGGAAGAGAAGGAAAAAGAAGAATCCTTAATCTTCCAAGGGATATTGGCCTTTTAGATTGTAGGCCTAATACTCTGAACATTTTGGGTAAAGAAATAGTTTTAAATAGGTTGACATCTCATCCTAGCATAATTTTTATCTCTCCCCACAAGTCTGTACAATCCAGCAATTCAATTCAATGAACATTTATTAAGTGCCTACTAGTGTCAGGCATTGTGCTAAGTGTTAGGCAAGAGATAGTCCCTGCCCTTAAGGAATTTACAATCTAATGGAGGAGACAACAAGCAAAGAAATATCTACAAAGCAAACTATATACAGGATAAATGGGAAAGTATTGGAATTAAAAGGTATTAGGGAAGGCTTCCTGTAGAAGGTGGGATTTTAGTTGGGGCTTAGCAGAAGCCATGGAGGTCAGTAGTCAGAGTGGAGGAGGCAAAGCATTCCAGACATTGGGGACAGCTAGAGAAAATGCCTGGAGCCAAGAGAAGGAATGTCCTGTTTATGGAAAGGCCAGGAGGCCCATATCATTGAATTGAAGAGTATGTACTGGGGAGCAAGCCCTAGGAAGGGCTAGGTAATGAAGGGCTTTGAATGCCAGAGATTGGCCCTAGGTCCAACGTTGGCACTTACCACATTTCCCTGTTTCACACAATAGCCGCTTTTAAGGAGCGGTGGCCCCGCTGGGGCTCGGCAGCCTGAAGTAGGGATGTAGCTCTGCGACCTTCGGAGGATAGCATGGTGGCCTTGCACACCTGCATCGGTCCCATCCCCGCCATTCTACAAGAGAACAGCCCCACGAGTCAGTAGCTTTTTCTCATCTCACAAACTCTGACCTATTCTCTACTTTAACCTCTTTACCCTTCTCCTGCCCTGCCAGACATTTGGATTTCCCCATAAGAACAATATTTTGTCTTACTAC